GTGCAGATATCTTAGCTTTAGTTGCTAGAGATTCAGTTTCATTCCAAGTAAGCTTCATAATTATTCATGAATTAAGCAGTTAGTAATTGTTTTAATTTAAGATGGTGACCAACTGAATATGCAAAATTTGCAGTTTGGAAGGCCATTGTGGGAAGTGCCAACTGGGAGAAGAGATGGTATCATTTCCAGAGCTTCTGAGGCTCTTGCCAATATTCCTTCACCATTCTTCAACTTCACCACCCTCAAACAATCTTTTGCCAACAAAAGCCTTACAGTTCACGAACTTGTTGTTTTGTCAGGTAAATTCTACATAAGTTTTAGAATTACACCCATGCAAGGGTCAGCTATAGTTACTTTGCTTGGTTATGTTGCTTCTTACCCTTCATTTTTTTTAAAGTATCCATATCCAACACATATTTGGCTGACATGAATTTAAAGGTCTAATCCTTAAAATTATAGAAAAATTCAGAAAAAATTGAGGGTAAACATGTCAGGCACGTATCAGTATTTGACACTCACTCGAGTCTGCGATACTGGCAACAGTAAGAATTTTAAAGACATTGTGCTTATTGCTTAACCAAATGCAGTTAAGTGCTTCAATTGTCAAATTGTTTTAAAATTAATCCCTAGTGAAACAGATAGAGATGGGCTAACCTGAAAGGAAATTTTGGTCAGGTGGACATACTATTGGAGTTGGACATTGCAATTTCTTCAGCAACAGGCTATACAATTTCACAGGAAAAGGTGATGCAGATCCATCTCTAAACTCAACCTACGCTTCTTTCTTGAAAACCAAATGCAAAAGCCTATCAGACAACACAACTATAGTGGAAATGGACCCTGGAAGCTCCGTATCTTTTGACAACAATTACTTCTCGATCTTGAAGCAAAATAAAGGCCTTTTCCAATCTGATGCTGCCCTATTAACAGACCAAGGCTCTAGCAACATTGTCGATGAGATGCTTAATTTGGAAAAATTTTTCGATAAATTTAAACAATCAATGGAAAAGATGGGAACAATTGAAGTGCTTACAGGAACTTCAGGAGAGATCAGGAAAAAGTGCAATGTGATCAATTCTTAATGGCAAACTGTCACTGTCCAGCTTTTGTAGCTTGGCCGGGTCTATGAAATTTAAGTATTTTCAATGTTTTGTACCAGCAGGAAAGTTTCTTTATAATGTTCAATTATTTACTGTAAAATAATTAAGTATTGTATTGAGTTGAAAAGAATGTCTCGAAAATTTTTAAAATAACTTCAATGTTTAAAATAACTTCAATGTTTTTTTTTATCATATGGTGAGGTTATAACAAAGTTATCTATAAAATATTGAAAATTTTCTTTATAATTTCCCTCTGTTTTTGTGGCTTATCCCTGGATACATATATTTCAATGATTGGCTATGGTTGACTTAAAAAATGTTCCATTTATATTGAATATGAATCATGAAGAAGTTTTCTTTCCCTTCTTAATTTGTTTCTCCTGAGATACCTCTCCCACATAATTTCAAAAAATATAAGAATTTTGTTTAAGTGGTGTTATTTTGTATTAATTTGTTTTTTTTTTGTGATTTTATTTTTAAATTAAATCTCTCTATTTATTATTAATTAATTTTAAATTAAATACTTAAATATAATATCAAAACCACCGTTGTCAACCTCAACTCCAAGTACAAGAAATGGTGAGACTGGGAGGTATATACATGGGACAAAGGTTGATCAACTTTTTAAAAGTTTTGTTCAAGATTTTGACTTGGCTGGTAGAGTTTAAAAGGTTTGAAATTTAAAAAATATATTAAAATAATAAAATAATTAATATTTTTATTATATTTTTATTTATTAATTCAATGTCCCGATTTGAGCCGGGCTGAGTCTAAGCTCAAAATTCTTTTCTAAGACTCGGCCTGTGCACAAGTGTTACCACGAGTAACACTACAATTGTTTAGCGTTACGTGGGTTTCCGTATATATAATACTTTATATGTTATTATTCATGAAGTGTGATAATTAATAATTAAATTATATACAATCAAGTGAGTAATTAATTAATTAATTAAACTAAAGTTTTGTGATAATTAATAATTAAATTATATACAATCAAGTGAAGTAATTAATTAATTAATTAAACTAAAGTTTAGTTAAAGACATCAAATGTAGCGGCAAACTGACCAATCATTTTCAGTTTATTAATTTTTGTTAGGAATATTTTAGAGTTCAAAAAATAAATTAATCAAGTTATCAACTGACAATAAAAATATTTTTAATTTTTAAATTAATTAATATATAAAATATTATATCAATTTGATTATATCATTATTTTAATTCATAAATTTTAATTTTAATATTATAATAATTTTAGAAATTTAACTTTGAAATTGAACACCAATATTTGCTTTGCTGGTTTGGCTAAATCAATTGTGAAAATGACCGGCGTAGTTTTAATTTCGGGAGATATATCGGTACATACCGTTGCTGTTTATAAACTAAAGCGGAACAGACAAAAAATAAAAATCATTATCCTTCTCTTGATTTCTTTAATGAAGAAATCATACCAATGACGATCAATCTCCTGGTGATTAACAACCTGTCCTACGGTTTGTCTGCATATCCGATTGGGTTCCCAAAAAATGTCAGTGAAAAGTTCGAGGAAAAGTCATCATTGTGAAGGTATGAACCCAAGGTTGGAAACGGAAGAATTGTTAAATGTTTTTTTGGACGTGTTTCGAAATTGATTTTGATGAAATTAAAAAATATATATATTAGTTATTATAATAATAAAATTAAAATTAATTATGAAAATATATGTTTAAATGTAAATATAGTAATAATAAGAAAATAAATTATAATAAATAATTATTAAAATAATAATTATACGCAATAATTTTTTTTTATAATATACTTCTTCAATCCTAAATTGTTTGAATAATATTAATTTTCACATAGTTTAAGAAAAAAATTTTGATTTTAATATATTTAATATTAAAATTAATTTTTTTATAAAATTAAAGCTTCGTGATTTTTAATTTCAAAAAATAAAAAAAATCATAAAAAATAAGTGTTAGATATTAAAAAAAGATATAATTTTAGAATATTTAAAAAAATAAATAAATAAAGAAAATGAAATAGAATGAGTAATTATAAAGATAAAAAAGTTTTAAAAAAATTATGCATTTATTCACTGCACCTAAAAGTTTAAGTGGAAAAAAACAACAAATTGTGCTGTTCAATGAAATCCAAACATTATTTCAAAGCGATTAATAGTTTTTATGCAAAAAGTGATCTCATTGAAATTACGTTTGAATCCAAATTAATTCTAAAATGTTTATATAATTATTTTTAAAAAATAATATTAAATTTATAATTTTATAATTTTTTTAAAAATTATTACAATCACTTTTATATATTAAAAAAAAAATGATAAGATGAGACTTTGTTAAAGTACACTTTCCAAGAACAAATCTTAACTTAATGCATCTATAAATGGAGAGAGATGAGACAAACCGACTTACATGATTCACTTGCAAATTTATTTTCGTTACTCTACAAATTCAAAGGAACCGATTGAAAGGATATGGATTTGATCAATAACCGAGAATCAAGCTGCACCGTACGCCACGCTCATCACAGTTGTTTTTATGTACATATAATAATATTTTGTGTAAACGGTCCAACCCTGACATCATTCTCGTTTTAGGGTAACAATTTCAGTCGTCAGTTCAAGGAAAATCATGCCCGCCACGTTCCTAACTTTAATTTTCTTCTAACAAATTTCATTAATTTATTTTGTTTTTTTTGGGTTGGATATTATAAAAAATAATAATAACAATTTAATAATACAAAAAAAAATTACAAATATTAATAATTAAGCTTTAGTCACTAAACTTGCTGATCTATTTTTAATTTTTGACTTGTTACTAATTTGTAACATGTTATTGAATATATCAATTATTAATAATGGGATCGTTAATATAAAAGATATTATCTTTTTTTTTAAGAAACTTATAAAAAAATAGTTTGTTAATCTTCAAATTAAAATAAAATATATCATATTTAATAATTTAAAATTAATAATTAAAAATTATATATTTGAAATGATCTTAATTAACAATTATTAGTTGGATTTGAATATAAAATTTTTACATCAATAAAGATAATTATTTATTAATTGAGTTGATCACTTATTTATCAAAATAATTTTAAAGCTCTGAAAAAGAAAATTACTTACTATTATTTTTAAAACAAGTCAAATTAATGAATTATTAGAACCAAAAACTGCAGATAGCCACCGCCTACTGCAGTCTCATCACATTTTGTTTAAGGGGAGGATCATCGATTTTAAAAATAGAAGACTTTGAAGATAGTTGGATAGGTTAATGAGGCATTAAAAAAAAAAAAAGTTGGGTCTTTGACAAAACCCTCAATCCAAGATTGAGGTGATTTTAATAATGTTATTACCATCGAAATTCAAAACGTAGCTTCCTTTCACTTCCATTTCCATGTCTATATAAAGGAAACAATCTCGGGTTCTTGAGCACACTATGCTCTGACTATGCTCTGATGTCAAATTTGAATTATATATAATATATTAATAATTTTTGTTATATATTATTAATTTTTATATTAAATTTTATCAATTTATCGATTTAAATTTTTTTATTAAAATTTTTATTAATTATCAAATTTCACCTGTACAATATACAATTGCGTGCAGCATGAATTCATATTTTATATGTTTGATCAACCCGTGATTTCATATTTTATATATGTTTGATCAACCCGTTCTGTTTCAGCCACATCTCAACTAATACACATGAATACACTGAACAAAAGTCAACATTCTAATAAACTTTGGACCATTGACATTAAAATTGAGATATTGACGATTTCTTTTATTAATTTTTTAATACTATGTTGATTTGTCCATTTTCAAAAGCATGGTGATTAACTATTCACAGTGAAGCTCATCAACTCCTTATATAAAGATGCAATGTCTTAGCTCTCAAACACAGCAGCAGACTTAAAATAGAGACAGAAACTCAGAAAAAGATGAAGAATAGTTTGGTTTTCTTGTTGATTTCTCTGATAGGATTGAGTGGATTTGTAGGAATACTGTGCCGAGGAGGAGGGTTGAAGAAAGATTTTTATGAGAAGAGTTGCCCCCATGCTGAGCATATTGTTCAAAGCATAACTTGGAAATATGTTGCTTGCAATTCCACTTTGCCTGCAAAATTTCTCAGAATGCATTTTCATGATTGTTTTGTTAGGGTAAGTATTGCTCCGACTCTTTTTTTTTTTTTAAGTATTCAAATCCAACATATATTCAAAAAACATGAATATGAGATCTAACCCTTCTGATATATAAAAAATTAAACGTATCGATATCAGACACATACTCATATCTGACACTCATTTTTGAGTTTGAGTAACATAGTACTACAAATTACAATATTCTTATCTTTATGTATCATTGAAATATTGTGTATGCTACTCATAGCTCCGTATTTTGCATAAATAAAATCCCATTTGTCAAGCATTCATTAATGTATCTATACATTTTATAAATTTTGAGAGGAGCACTGAAAAGTATTTTAACCTCAATCAATGCTTCCAAATTCGTATAATTCTAGTTTGATCCTATGATTTTTGGCTTGTTTCGTAGGGCTGCGATGCCTCAGTGCTGTTGGATTCTACAGCAAATAACTCAGCGGAAAAGGATGCAGTTCCAAATCAATCCTTGGCAGGATTTGATGTTATTGATGAGATCAAGAGCCATCTAGAGAAGACTTGTCCTGAAGTAGTCTCTTGTGCAGATATCTTAGCTTTAGTTGCTAGAGATTCAGTTTCATTCCAAGTAAGCTTCATAATTATTCATGAATTAAGCAGTTAGTAATTGTTTTAATTTAAGATGGTGACCAACTGAATATGCAAAATTTGCAGTTTGGAAGGCCATTGTGGGAAGTGCCAACTGGGAGAAGAGATGGTATCATTTCCAGAGCTTCTGAGGCTCTTGCCAATATTCCTTCACCATTCTTCAACTTCACCACCCTCAAACAATCTTTTGCCAACAAAAGCCTTACAGTTCACGATCTTGTTGTTTTGTCAGGTAAATTCTACATAAGTTTTAGAATTACACCCATGCAAGCGTCAGCTATAGCTACTTTGCTTGGTTATGTTGCTTCTTACCCTTCATTTTTTTTAAAGTATCCATATCCAACACATATTTGGCTGACATGAATTTAAAGGTCTAATCCTTAAAATTATAGAAAAATTCAGAAAAAATTGAGGGTAAACATGTCAGGCACGTATCAGTATTTGACACTCACTCGAGTCTGCGATACTGGCAACAGTAAGAATTTTAAAGACATTGTGCTTATTGCTTAACCAAATGCAGTTAAGTGCTTCAATTGTCAAATTGTTTTAAAATTAATCCCTAGTGAAACAGATAGAGATGGGCTAACCTGAAAGGAAATTTTGGTCAGGTGGACATACTATTGGAGTTGGACATTGCAATTTCTTCAGCAACAGGCTATACAACTTCACAGGAAAAGGTGATGCAGATCCATCTCTAAACTCAACCTACGCTTCTTTCCTGAAAACCAAATGCAAAAGCCTATCAGACAACACAACTATAGTGGAAATGGAACCTGGAAGCTCCTTATCCTTTGACAACAATTACTTCTCAATCTTGAAGCAAAATAAAGGCCTTTTCCAATCTGATGCTGCCCTATTAACAGACCAAGGCTCTAGCAACATTGTCGATGAGATGCTTAATTCGAAAAATTTTTTCGATGAATTTAAACAATCAATGGAAAAGATGGGAACAATTGAAGTGCTTACAGGAACTTCAGGAGAGATCAGGAAAAAGTGCACTGTGATCAATTCTTAATGGCAAACTGTTACTATCCAGCTTTTGTAGCTTGGCCGGGTCTATGAAATTTAAGTATTTTCAATGTTTTGAACCAGCAGGAAAGTTTCTTTATAATGTTCAATTAAGTATTGTATTGAGTTGAAAAGAATGTCTTGTGAAATAATTTCAATGTTTTGTTTGATCATATGGTGAGGTTATAACAAAGTTATCTATAAAATATTGAAAATTTTCTTTATAATTTCCCTCTGTTTTTGTGGCTTTTCCCTGGATACATATATTTCAATGATTGGCTATGGTTGACTTAAAAAAACTTCCATTAATATGAATCATGTAGAAGCTTTCTTTCCCTTCTTAATTTGTTTCTCCCGAGATACTTCTCCCACATAATTTCAAAAAATATAAGAATTTTGGTTAAGTGGTGTTATTTTGTATTAATTTGTTAAATTTTAATTTTTTAATGATTTTAATTTTAAATTAAATATTTTTATTTATTATTAATTAATTTTAAATTAAATATTTAAATATAATATGAAAACAACGATTGTCAACCTCAACTCCAAAAGGTAAATTAATCCTTTCTTTCATTAAAAATTATTAACAGATAATAAAAATATTAAATGTCAAAATATAAATATAAAAAATATTCTTTATTTTTATCTTTAATCAATTTTTTTTTATAATAACTCTAAAAATTTGACTTTCAAATTCAGCACAGATGTTTTCTTTGCTGGTTTGGCTGAATCAATTGTGAAAATGACCGGCGTAGTTTTTAATATCGGGAGATATATCAGTACGTACCCTTGCTGTTTATATACTAAAGCGGAACAAACAAAAAATTAAAATCATTATCCTTCTCTTGATTTCTTTAATGAAGAAATCATTCCAATGACGATTAATCTCTTGGTAATTAGCAACCTGTCTTACGGTTTGTTTATATTGAGAGGTGTAAATAATATATTAATATTCGTAAGTTATTCGGGTTTGATTCAAAAAAAATTTAAATTTAATTCGATTATTATCGAGTCGAACTCGAGCTCGAATAGTTTGACTTATCGATCGAATCGAATTCAAGTATTTTTATATCTGATTCGAGTAGCTCACGAACTTAATCGAATTTTTATATTTAAATATATTTTTATTATTTTAATTAATAAAATATTTTGAGTTCGAACTTGTCGAGCATGAATAATCGAACTTTTGTGGAATATACGAATCGAACTTATTTTTTACATATTAATCGAACTAATCGAGCGAGTTCGAGTAGCTCGAATTCTGATCCGAATCGAACCTCGAACTTGAAAAAATTAAACACGTCGAATTTGAATCGGTTCGAACTCGAATGGAGTAATTCGAACATGCCGAATTTCACTATTCGACTCGACTCGTTTACACTCTTAATCTACATATCACATGGTCCAAAAAATGTCAGTGAACTTCGAGGAAAAGTCATCATTGTAAAGGTACGAAACCAAGGTAGGAAACCGAAGAATTGTTAAATGTTCATTTGGATTGTTTTGATTGAGTTTGATGAAATTAAAAATAATAATAATAAATAAATTATTGTAATGATAAAATTAAAATTAATTATAAAAATATATATTTAGATGTAAATATAATAATGATAAAATAAATTATAATAAATAATAAATAATTATTAAAAACATTAAATTAATAATTATATGTAATAATATTTTATTTTTATAATATATTCTTTTTGTCTTAAATTATTTGGACAGTATTAATTTTTATGCAATTTAAAAAAATAGATTTTAATATATTTAATATTAAAATTAATTTTTTTATAAAATTAAAGTTTCATGATTTTTAATGTTAAAAAGTAAAAAATAATTTTAAAATATAAAAAAATAAGAGTTTTAGATATTAAAAAATATATAATTTTGAGATATTTTAAAAAAATGAATAAAGAAAATGGGATAAAATGGCTAATTATAAAGACAAAAAATAATAAAAAAATGCATTTATTCACTGCACATAAAAATTTAAGTGTAAAATATTACAAATTGTACTGCTCAATGAAATCCAAACAGTATTTCTAAGCGATTGATAGCTTTTATGCAAAAAGTGATCTCACTGAAACTACGTTTAAATTCAAATTAACTCTAAATTGATCGTATAATTATTTTTAAAAAATAATTTTAAATTTTTATATTTATAATTTTTTTTCAAATTATTACTATCACTTTTATATATTAAAAAAAAAACAAAATGATAAGATAAGACTTCGTTAAAGTACACTTTCCAAGAACAAATCTTAATTTATGCATATATAAATAGAGAGAGATGAGGCGGACCAACTTGCATTATTCACTTGCAAATTTATTGTTACTATTCAAATTCAAAGAAACCGATCGAAAGGATATGGATTTGATCAATAACCGAGAATCAAGGCGCACCGTACGCCCTCAGCACAGTTGTGTTTATGTGCATAAAATAATATTTTGTGTAACGGTCCAACCTTGACATCATCCACGTTTGAGGGTAACAATTTCAGTCGTCAGTTCGAGGAAAATCATGTCCGCCACGTTAACAAATTGCATTAATTTTTTTTTTGTTGAAAATTATAAAAAATATCATAATTTAATAATACGAAAAAGAGATTACAAATATTAATAATTAAGCTTTAGTCACTAAATTTGCTGGTACTATTTTTAATTTTTGACTTGTTACTAATTTGTAACATGTTGAATATATCAATTATTAATAATGGGATCATTAATATAGAAGATATTACTTTTTTTTGGTAAGAAAATTTTGAAAGAAAATAAATTGATCAGTCTTAAGCTAAAATAAAATATATTATATTTGATAATTTAGAATTGATAATTAGATATCGAAATAACTTTAATAAGTAGTCATTAATTGAATTTAAATTCAAAATTTTTATGTTAAGAAAATAATTTTTTACCAATTGAATCAATTAATTACTTATCAAAATGATTTTAAAATTTTGAAAAGGAAAATTACTTCTTATTAATTAAAAAAAATCAAATTAATGAATTATTAGAACCAAAAACTGGAGATAGCCACCGCCTACTGCAGTCTCATCACGTTTTGTTTAATGGAAGGATCATCGATTTCAAAAATAGAAGACTTTGAAGATAGTTGGATAGGTTAATGAGGAATTAAAAAAAAAAAAAAAGTTGGTTCTTTGACAAAAGCCTCAGTCTAAGGTTGAGGTGATTTTAATAATGTTATTAACATCGAAATTCAAAACGTAGCTTCCTTTCACATCCATTTCCATGTCTATATAAAGGAAACAATGTCGGGTTCTTAAGCACACTGCGCTCTGATATCAAATATTATTGTTTCACTTTGATCCTAAAACTTGGTGAAAAATGAGGGCTGGGTATAGCATTTTCCTTCTCGTTGTTTCTCTTGCCTTGTTTGGAATTGTTGAGGTTTGTCATGCAGACGGGTTGAGATATAACTTCTACAAGAAAAATTGCCCACTAGCTGAGAAGATTGTCAAAAACATTATTCAGGACAGAGTCCGAAGTAATCCAGCTTTAGGTGCTAAACTTATCAGGATGCAGTTCCATGACTGCTTTGTTAGGGTAACTAAAAAATTTATATTCAAAACAATATGATTTTTTTTCCTCAAGATTTAAAACTTAATCACTGAAACTAAGAGTACAACATTTTACCAATATATCTCACTGAGTGTTGGCGATTTTCAGTGTACCCAAATTATATATATGAGCTGACTTTTTTTTTCTTGTGAAATGTTTATTATGTTACGATATGATGCATGTGCTGTTGGACACAGTTAATAATGGTTCTAAGGCTGAGAAGGAAGCAATACCCAATCTTTCTTTGACTACTTTCAACGTAATCGACGATGTCAAGACTGCAATCGAAAAAGTTTGCTCCAAAGTGGTTGCTGTGCTGATATTCTTGCATTGGCAGCTCGTGACGCAGTTTCTGCCCCCGGTAAATACCCATTTCTATACAATGCATCGATGATATCATATTCACACTATATAAATATAACTTTGAAGGAATATTAATGTTACAGTTTAGGAGGCCCCTGTGGGGTGTGGCCCTTGGAAGAAGAGATGGTAGAATTTCCCTTGCAGCTGAGACCAATGGAAACATCCCTTCACCCTTTGCAAACTTCAGCAGTCTGGTGCAATTATTTGAGAAGAAAGATCTTGATGTTTGTAGACATTGAATTTTGTCAAGGTTTATTGATGCTTTAAATCACGTTTTTGGTTTTTATTTATCAATATTAAACTATTAATAATAATAGAAAAAATATTGATAATAAAATATTAATATTAGTTTAACATTGAAAAAAATACAAAAAAAAGAAAAAAGTAGTAGAAAGCAGGGGGTTGATGCCTGGCACCAGCCACCCTGCAGCCTTCTGACCAGCCACCTCCTGTCTAGTCACCTCACCAGAATACTGCAACCACCCTTACAGCCACCCTACGACCACCACAGACTCAGACACCCATCTACTTAAAGCCTTAGCTTTCTCCCCTTTCAACTCTCCTATCAGACAGATCTTCGAACACCTTAGAAACCCCCAAGCTTAGATACACAGACACCATACCTTTCGCACTCCCAAATGACCTAGCCCTTCGCACGCCCTGAACCTTTAAATCCCAGCCTTTAAACACCGCACAAAACCTTCACCAGGTACCCTCAACCTCACCCAATACCTATTCCCCTTCTAAACAGACAACAATAAAAAAAAATCCACCAAAAAAAAAACACAACAACAGTTCCCCTCGTAGGGAGGAACCATCAGCGTCGAGCAAGCCCTGCAAAATAAACAAAAAAAAAAGAGAAGACAGAAACTTTAAGTCTCAATCTACGTCGATCGAGAATATTTTCAGCGAAAAAGAGATCAAATATAGGGAGATTGCATTGAAGAGAGCTTTTGAAAAATTTTTTGGTGTTTTTCGACCACCGACAACGGTCGACATGGGGGCCGGTGCAGCAACGTAGGTGACCAGGCGTCGGACGCTGGTAGAGGCCTTGGAGCTCTCCCTGGAGCTCTGATTTTTTTTTTTTTTGGAAGAGGGTTTGGAATGAACTGAAAAAAAATTTCAGTTTTATATAGAAAGCCAAAGCCCAAAACGACGTCCTTTTAGGACCCAGGATCGGCACGTTGACTCGAGACTCGACCTGGGATCCGCGCAAACCGGCCCATTGATCAATTCCTTCAACAGCCTCTGATCGGT